AACCCAGTCACGGAAGACAAACATAGTATGTACTCACTCATATATGGATATTAGACATAGAGCAAAGGATTACCAGCCTACAATCCACACCACCAGAGAAACTAGGAAACAAGGAGGACCCTAAGAGAAAAATGTATGGTCCCCTGAAGAAGCGGAAAGGCACAAGAGCTCCTAAGCAAATTGGGAGCACGGCGGGGGAAGGGGTGGATAAAAAGAGAAGGGGAGAAGAAGAGGGGAGTGGAGAAGAGAAAAACAGGGATCAGAAGACTGAGTCAGGGGAGGAAGAGAGGAGAGCAAGAAAAGAGATACCTTAATAGAAGAAGCCAGTATAGGTTTAAAAAGAAATCTGGACTTGGGAAATGTTCAGAGATCCACAAAGATGACCCCAGCTAAGAATCTAGGCAGTAGTGGAGAGGCTGTCTTTAATGCCCTTCCCCTATAATGAGATTGATGACTACCTTAATTGCCATCCTAGAGCCTTCATCTAGTAGCTGATAGAAGCAGTAGTGGACACCCACAGCTAAACACTGGGCCATACTACTGGAATCCAATTGTAGAGAGGGAGGAGGGATGAGCAAAGGAGTCAAGACCATGCTAGAGATAGATTAGAGAAAGAGAAACACTGATCCATTGTTTGTGGGACTGCAAACATGTGCAGCCACTTTGGAAATCAGTATAGTGACTCCTCAAGAAAATGGGAATCAATCTACCACAAGATCCAGCAATTCCACTCTTGGGCATATACCCAAAGAATGCACATTCATACAAGGACACATGTTCAACTATGTTCATAGCAGCATTATTTGTAATAGCCAAAACCTGGAAGCAACCTAGATGCCCCTCAACCAAAGGATGGATGGAGAAAATGTGGTATATTTGCACAATGGAGTACTACTCAGCAGGAAAAAAAAATGAAATCTTGAAATACGTAGGCAAATGGATGGAACTGGAAGAAACCACGCTGAGTGAGGTAACCCAGTCACGGAAGACAAACATAGTATGTACTCACTCATATATGGATATTAGACATAGAGCAAAGGATTACCAGCCTACAATCCACACCACCAGAGAAACTAGGAAACAAGGAGGACCCTAAGAGAAAAATGTATGGTCCCCTGAAGAAGCGGAAAGGCACAAGAGCTCCTAAGCAAATTGGGAGCACGGCGGGGGAAGGGGTGGATAAAAAGAGAAGGGGAGAAGAAGAGGGGAGTGGAGAAGAGAAAAACAGGGATCAGAAGACTGAGTCAGGGGAGGAAGAGAGGAGAGCAAGAAAAGAGATACCTTAATAGAAGAAGCCAGTATAGGTTTAAAAAGAAATCTGGACTTGGGAAATGTTCAGAGATCCACAAAGATGACCCCAGCTAAGAATCTAGGCAGTAGTGGAGAGGCTGTCTTTAATGCCCTTCCCCTATAATGAGATTGATGACTACCTTAATTGCCATCCTAGAGCCTTCATCTAGTAGCTGATAGAAGCAGTAGTGGACACCCACAGCTAAACACTGGGCCATACTACTGGAATCCAATTGTAGAGAGGGAGGAGGGATGAGCAAAGGAGTCAAGACCATGCTAGAGAAATCTTCAGAAACAGCTGACCTGATCTAGTGAGAGCACAGGGACCCCAGTCGTAAAGCTAGGGAACCAGCATTGGACCGAACCAAGCCTTCTGAATGTGGGTGCCAGTGGAGGCCTGGGCAGTCTATGGGTCCTCTAAGAGTGGAGCCAGTGTTTATCCCTAGTGCACAAATGGACTTTGGGAGCACATTCCCTATGGAGGGATACTATTGCAGCCCAGATACATGGAGGAGGGCCTAGTCTCTCCCCAAAATGATGTGACAGACTTTGATGATTCCCTCATGGAAGGCCTCACTATCCTTGGAGAGTAGGTTGGGGGTGTTGGTTGAGGGCATGGGAGGGTGGAAAGGACAGGGAATGTATGTAAAAATAAGATTGTTCCTAAATTAAAAAGAATATTGGGGAAAAAGTTAAAATTCTATCAAATATGATTTATCAGGGCAGTCTCAGTAAACATTTTATGATTTTATCCTTTAAAAGAAGTGTTCATTTTAGATTTATTGTGTTATTGTTTATGATTATGGATGTTTTGCCTGCATGTATGGCTGTGCAGCATGTCCATGCCCAGTGTCCACTGAGGCCAGAAGAGGGCAACAGATCCCCTAGAACAGGAGTTACAATTATAAGCCACTACGTGGGTGCTGAGACTCCAAAGCAGGACCACTGAAAGAGTAGCTAGTGCTCTTAATCACTGAGCCATCTTTCTACCCCCAAATGTTCTTTTGTGTGTGTGTGTGTGTGTGTGTGTGTGTGTGTGTGTAAGAGAGAGAGACTTGTAATGCTTGGATATTTTAAGAAAGTACCATTTTTATTTTTAAAAATAACTGCTTAAAGTTAGTAGTTTTATCTGGATTGTAGTTTAAAGTATTTACCGTCATCCAGATTACAGACTATAGTGGTAGACAGATCTTTACGAGTTCAAGACCAGTCTAGTCTCTATGGAGAGTACCAGGCCAGACAGGGTTACAAAGTGAGGACATAATGAGAATCTATCTCCAAATAGAAAGAAAGAGAGAATTCCAAATTAGGGACCATAATATCAAAGCACTACCAAGGTAAGAAGAAAGTTATTCTGATTCTAAACAATGTACCAACCCCCTCAAAAAATACTTGAGAACTAAAACTGTAAGCAAATATAAAGTATTATACTATAGATTATAATCTCCTACTAATTCCAATGTTTTAGCAACAAACCCTACATACAATTAAAAACCAAAACAAGATGTTGGAGATATAGCTCAGTTAAGAGATCTTGCTGCTCTTGTAGATGACTAGAGTTTAGTTTCCAGCACCCACATGGTAGATCACACCATCTATAACTCCAGCTCCAGGAGAGCCAACACTTTCCTCAGATGTCCAGGGGCATATGCACATACACACAAATAACAATAAATATTTTTTTCAGAAAACCTCATTTTTGTCTTATTAATTTTAAAAATTAAACTCAGTATTCACTATTGAAAATGTGGAAGTGATATTTCAATATCATTTCTTGTACTAAATCAATGTGTGTAAAACATGAAAACCCGGCACGACAGTCTGGTCTTTTCTCCCCTAGCGCCGCTGGGCCCACAGGTCTGTGTGGAGCCTCGGTTGCAGGTGTCTGTTGCACAAGATGGGGTTCGTGAAAGTTGTCAAGAATAAGGCCTACTTCAAGAGGTACCAAGTGAGATTTAGAAGGCGGCGAGAGGGTAAAACTGACTACTATGCTCAGAAACGATTGGTGATCCAGGGCAAAAATAAGTACAACACACCCAAATACAGGATAATAATTCATGTAACTAACAGAGGTATCATCTACCAGATTGCCTATGCCTGTATAGAAGGGGATATGATAGTCTGAGCAGCATATGCACGGTATGAAAGTTGGCCTGACAAATTATGCTGCAACCTATTGCACTGGCCTGCTGCTGGCCAGCAGACTTCTCAATAGGTTTGGTATGGACAAGATCTATGAAGGCCAAGTGGAGGTGACTGGAGACGAATACAATGTGAAGAGCATTGATGGTCAGCCTGGTGCCTTCGCTTGCTATTTGGATGCAGGTCTTGCCCTAACTACAATGGCAATGAAGTTTTGGGGACCCTGAAGGGAGCTGTGGATGGAGGCTTGCCTATTCCTCATAGTACCGAACGATTCCTGGGTAATGATTCTGAAAGCAAGGAGTTCAATGCAGAAGTGCCTGGGAAGCACATCATGGGACAGAATGTTGCAGATTGCATGCACTACCTAATGGAGGAAGATGAAGATGCGTACAAGAAACAGCTCTCCCTAGCTCTGTAGACCAGGCTGGCTTCAAACTCACAGGGATCCACCTGCAGTGCAAAGCCAGCTTTGTGAGGTGAACCCATGAGATTCCCAAAACAATATGACAAAGCAACACAGGCTACTGTCTTTGCCCTGGTTGTCTTCCAGAACTTGAAGGTAGGACCCTATTGCTGACAACACCACAGACTTCAGACACAGGAGAGAATCTACTACTGCCACTTCCCCAAACTAGTAAAATCTAACTGCCTCCTTAACACTTATCTTTATAGCTTTACAGATGAGTGTAGTTCTCACTCCTCATCTGAGAAGCTTCTTTTTTGCAGCAGAGACCATTTTCAAAGTCAAAACTGGTCAAAATGCAGAGAACAATTGATCACTAAGTACCCACCCCTACCTGACACATCTATAACACAACCCCTACACCTAAGGCTCAAAGAACATCATAAATGGAGAAGCAGAAAGGCTGTGAGAGCCAGAGGATCAGAACTTCTGCTGCAAGACAGCATCTTCTATATATGGAAGGGAAGCTGTACTCATGCAATCTCAACAATATGGCTGCCTAAACTAGACCTAAACAATGTCCCCACCCCTAGATAAAGAGTTATAGGTAATTAATGACTGCTAAGAGGAGAAAAGAGTATCAGGACCCCCTAACTGGTTATCTAATACAAAGTGGTTAACCCTAAAAAACATACCCATAGAAGTACACTAAAAGTAATCAGCAAGTTATATGTGTTTGCAATAATAATATTTAAAAAAAAGTCATGAATTTGAGAGGAGTAGGTAGAACCTGAAAGTGTTTGGGGGGTGTAAAAAGAGGAGAGGAAATGATGCAAACACAGTATACATGTAAAACTATAAAAATAACTTTTAAAGTAAACGATAAAAAATAGAAATGTATGCAAACAAACACAAATGTACACATATATTCAAATATGCATATTATATTTTATATCATAAATTCCTAAAATATATACATTAATTCATCATAATCCCTTGAACAGAGCCATCATTCAATTGAAAATCAGGGTGAAAAACACTAAGGTTTATGCTAGAATAGAGCATTCTTGTGTGCATCTTCAACAATCTTGTTTTCAAGAATATTGGATTTATACTATTTCACATGTAGTAAATTGAACAAAATCAATACTAAGTAACATACCTTTCAGATAAATTAAGGCTTTGGTGATGAGGGTCTAATTTTTGACATGTCTCTATGCTGTCAACAGATGTCGAAGGCAATGAGTCTGATTGCACCTTGCTGGTATCACATAAATTAGCATCATTTCTAGGTAGGGTCTTTCTGAATTTTCGTCCTAAATCCGTCCATAGAACATTCGTCAACATAACTCTGAGATGCCTGTTACATACATAAATAATTAATACATATGGTTCTAAATGTTGTATAATACATGAATTTATTACAAACTGTAACAAGTGAGTATCTCCAAGAATTCTGAATTTCACTTCTTCACGAAATTTAGTTAGTTATAAACATTGTAAGTAAAAAAAGCAAATGTCTAGCCATTCTCAGTGGCACATTAAAAAGTAAAGCCCACTTCATTTACACTGGGATTTTCTTTACAATCATATCAAACAACCTATAATCATCCTCACAAGTATGTACAAACCTATACCAGTTTATTTTTGCCATATTTAAGCACAACATAATTTTGGGAAAAAAAAGTTTCATGATGATAATTAATCCAATCCCACATGTACAACAAAGATTAAGACAGATTTACAGTGACACTCTTTATAAAGTACATATGACCTCTTTAATAAAAATGGGTTCTGTTGACTCAGAAACAATGCTCAAGACAAGGGTCTATGGAGAGTGACTGTGGCAAACGTGATAGTATGGGGGATTTAAGTGAGACATAGCCCTGCAGACAGCAAAAGACCACCAGGTTATAAACGACATCCATTCCCAGCTTTCTGAGTGGAAAACAGTAAACATCTCCTTCCTTCGAAGAGACAAGCCTGATATTTAACCTTCCTGGTTTCCTAGTGCCTATCTGTGAGTACAGAGACCGCATACCTCAACATCAGTCCTGATGTGAGCAGTTTCCAAATTTTGCTTCATCACATTTGTACATTTTTTCATTATATGCAGCATATATATATATATATATATATATATATATATATATATATATCACAATATCTAAAAACTATGTTCAGTCATCACACCATTGAATAGTTTTTGCAGGGGTATAAACAGACTACCAAACAAGCTTCGAACAATGTCAAATGAAGAATAGCTAAAATGTTAATCACAGTGTTTAATCAGAAGGGCAGAAGGGTCAATTTGTTACCACAGAAAGCACTTTTTAACATCTTTTCATTATTTAACAAATACAACAATGTTAACAAACAGAAAACAAAATGCTCACATATTTTCATAATATAGAAAATTTCCAAATGAATTTAAAATATGTTTGTAGCAGCTACTTGGGGACAGACAGAGCACCAGACAACCTAAAGGGAAGAAGTCTAAGTCCTAGGGGAATGTCAATGGAAACATGTTAATTTAGAAAAACAAATTAAGATATATAGAACACAGAAATGAGTTGGTATCTCTTTAAATCAGTAATAATATGTTCAACCAATATTTATGGGACATTTAACAAAACAACTATGCTAGTAGGAGTTAGAGACACATCAGCAAACATGAAATGGTTCTTGCTCAAACCATCATTTAAACAGAGAAGAAATAAGAAGGAGAACCCATACTATCATTTCTTCTGAAGCAAGTCAAAAAGGTTTTTGCTATGAAGATGACAATCACAAATCTGGACATTAATATTCCACACAGGCTCAGGTGTTCAAACACCTACAGCTCTTCTGCAAGACTATAGGACCTGGCCAGTACATGTGGATCACTACAAGTCGGCTTTAAAGGTAATAGCCTGGCCCTGCTCTTTGCTTCCTGTTTCAGCAGTGTTGTAAGCAACCCTGGCAGCTGCCATGTAGCTGCTCCCTCATTCCTGTCCCACCAACGTGGACTAACTCTGAAACCAGGAGCTGAAAATAAGCCTTTCCTGCCATAAGCTGTTAACAACCTGTAAGCCAAAGTGTCACAGAATGCTAGGCACTCTACCAAAGAAAATGAACAGAAACTGAGAAACAAAAATTGTTAAGGAAACATAAATATTCTGGTATGAGTAATGCCTGTTCAAGGACATAAAAAAATTTATTTATTTATTTTACATCACAGCCACAGCTTCCCCTCCTTCTCCTCCCAGTACCTCCCCACATCCCCCTCTCTATTCCCACCCCACAATCTACTCCTCCTCTGTTTCTGTTTAGGAAAGAGAAGGTCTCCCATAAGTATCAAATCAACAAAACTCGGCATATCAAGTTGTAGTAAGAATAAAAACCTTCCTATGTATTAAGGCTGGCAATGTGACCCAGTATGAGGAATAGGGTCCCAAAAGCCAGTAAAAGAGTTGGAGATGAGCCGGGCGGTGGTGCACACACCTTTAATCAAAGCACTCGGAAGGCAGAGGCAGGTGGATCTCTGTGAGTTCGAGGCCAGCCTGGTCTCCAGAGCAAGTGCCAGGTTAGGCTCCAAAGCTACACAGAGAAACCCTGTCTCGAAAAACCAAAAAAAAAAAAAAAAGTTGAAGATGACCCCTGTTCCTACTATTTGGAGTCCCACAAGAGGAACAAGCTACACAACTGTAACATATGCAGAGTGCCTAGGTCAGTCCCACGCAGGATCCGTGGTTGTATGTTCAGTCTCTGTGAGCTCCTATGAGCCCAGGTTAGTTGATTCTGTGAGTTTTCTTTCGGTATCCTTGACCCCTCTGGCTCCTACACTTCTTTCTCCCTCTTCTTCAGGATTCCCCAAACTCTGCCTAACATTTGGCTGTGGGTCTGTCTCTGTTTCTATCAGTTGCTGGATAATGCCACTCTGATGATAGAAATTAAATTAGGGTCTGGAGAAATGGCTCAGAGGTTAAGAGCACTGGCTGCTCTTCCAGAGGTCCTGAGTTCAATTCCCAGAAACCACATGGTGGCTCACAACCATCTGTAATGAGATCTGGTACCCTCTTGTGGAAGAATACTGCATATACAATAAATAAATAAATCTTTTTTTAAAAAGAAACTAAATTAGTTATCCAAATGTATCCAAATGTCTAGAGTAAAAGGAACTATGTCCAGGATAAGACTGTGCAGTCAGTATATAGTAGACTATATTAAGGAGTTGAGATTTTTTTTTATCTATATCTTACATGCATTGGTGCTTTGCCTGCTTATATGTCTGTGTGAGGGTGTTGGATCCCCTGGAACAGGAGTTACAGACAGTTGTGAGCTGCCGTGTGGGTGCTGGAAATTAAACCAGGGTCCTATGGAAGAGCAGTCAGTGCTCTTAACCATTGAACCATCTCTTCAGCCACAGGAGTTGAGATTTTATATCAACAAGAATTCTATAAGGAACTGAGCTAAAGGCCTCATATTACATTATGCCAAAGAATCTGGGGCATTTTGTCTCTGTCCTGAAACCTTGAGTAGGGATGAATTTAAAAGTAATGCATTAATTCTGTTTGGTAGCAGAAATTTCAAAACAAGACAGCATGAGGGCTGTGGCATGATTACTACTGACTGTTTATGGTTAAATCTACGCTCAATGAGAACAACTGATTGAGCAGAAAGCTATGGGAAATGAACGAATGTGAAGCTGCAGACGAGGCTGCTGAGAAAGCAGCTGTACAGCTGTTAAAACAGAGAAGCACCACAAAACGAGCAAACAAAACCTAGCACTCTGCATAGAAAAGGTATCAGGAGGGCAAGACCCACCTGTGGAAAGCGCTAGTGAAAATGCAAATTCATTTTAAGGAAGGGGGCCTAAACTGAAAATGCCACTGAAGGAATGGCTTGCTCAAAAACAGCTGCCATGGGAAGTACACATAAACCCCAGCCCTGTGTTAACACACAAAGGCTAGTTCAACTGTGGTCCCAAGCCTTCAGGCTCTGTCTCAAGCTGGCAGCACTGCCCACTTACACTGGTTTTGCAGGCATGAAAGCTGTGAGACGGCCAGGCATTGTAAGGCAGGGGTGGAATCCCTGCAAGCAGACCCTGAGAAGCTACTGCATGAAGTTTGCAGGTGAAGCCTAAGTTATAATGGAGACCCCAGGATTTTGGAAATGCCAAAAACATGCAATACCTACTAAGCAGAGCTGATCACACAGAAGACAGCCAGTTCAAGATAGAGGAGCTCTGTCGATGAGGGTAGGCTTTGAGGTTTCAAAAGCTTATGTCATGTCCAGTGCCTGACCCCACCTCTCTCTCTGCCTGCTGCCTGAGGATCAGGATGTAAGGCTCTCAGCTACTTCTCCAGCACCATGCCTGCCTGCTTGCTTCCATATTTCCTGCCATGATGATAATGGACTAAGCCTCTGAAACTTAAGTAAGCTGCCAATTAATAGCTTCCCTTTATAAAAGTTGCCTTGGTCATGGTGTCTCTTCACAGCAGCAGAACACTAAGACAACTTTCTTAAATCATGAGTCAAAAGAAACCCTTCAGAAAGGACTTACATGTGAAACAAGCTTGTTCCCTAACTTGAATTAATAAAGAGAGAGAGAGAGAGAGAGAGAGAGAGAGAGAGAGAGAGAGAGAAGAAAAAGAAACTCTTCCTTCCTCAAGTTGCTTCTTATCAGGAAATTAAGATAATAGTAACGGGCTGGAGAGATGGCTCAGAGGTTAAGAGCACTACCTGTTCTTCCAAAGGTCTTGAGTTCAATTCTGAGAAACCACATGTTGGCTCACAACTATTTGTAATGAGATCTGGTGCCCTCTTCTGGCCTGCAGGCATACATGCAGGCAGAACATAATAAATAATCTAAAAGAAAAAAAACTTAAAAAAAAAGATAATAGTAACAAATATAATCTTAAAATTGTCATGGAAGGAAAAAGCTGAACAGCTAGAGAAGTCTTGAGTAAAAATAACAAAACTTGAGGTATCACAATGCCTGATTTCAAGATAGACAAAATATACAGAGCCACAGTAACCAAAATAATACAGGTACTGACATAAAAACAGCCAGGTTCATGGAACAAAGTGGGGTCTATAAGTAAACTAATCCATGTACAGGAGACTGATTGTTAACAAAGGCACGAAAACTAACATTAGAGAAAAGACACCCTCTCCAATAAAATGTCCTGCAAAAACAGGGTATATAAATGTAGAAGACTGGGCTGGAGAGATGGCTCAGTCATTAAACGATAGGCTCACAACCAAAAAATGCAGAAGGTTTCAATTTGACTCCAATTTCCCACAGCATACAAACAAAATCAACGCTAAGTAGATAAAAGATGGCCAAGTGGTGGTGGCACATATCTTTAATCCCAG